CTCACTAAATTACTGGGAACTGAGGTGGCAACCGAGATTATTGAGAAATTTGATTTGGAAGAGAACGATTTGCTCTTCCTGTGCATTGGACCCAAAGTGGAGACGGTTAGTAAAGCGAAACAATTTGTGTTATCTTGATGCCAACTTAAGCTTCGTTTTTGTATTATCCACAGCGCAATTTACTGGGTCGCATTCGGCTGGATTATCATGAGTTTCTCGTGGAGAATGTAAAGACCAAGAAAACCAACGACTATCGTTTTCTGTGGGTTGTCGATTTTCCACTATTTGAGCGGAACACTGCCACAAATCAGCTGGAGAGTGTGCATCATCCGTTCACGGCGCCGCTAGTTGAGGATTTGGATAAGTTTGCAACCAGTTGCGACAATCTTGAAACGATTCGTTCCGAAGCATATGATCTTGTGCTAAATGGACAGGAGGTGGGCGGTGGATCCATGCGCATACACGATCGCGATATGCAGCAGTTCATATTGGAGCAAGTGCTAAAGATTCCCCATGATCATTTGTCGCATTTGTTGAGCGCCCTGGAATCTGGCTGCCCCCCTCATGGTGGCATCGCCTTGGGCCTGGATCGTCTCATAGCTATACTGTGCCGTGCGCGTTCCATACGCGATGTGATAGCATTCCCCAAGTCATTAAACGGACGGGATCCACTCTCTAATGCACCAGTGCCCATTTCAGAGGAAGAGATGAAACTCTACCACATCAGCGTGCAACAGGCTGAAGCGGAGGAGGACGGTGCTAGCACCAATGATACAGCACATGCTCAGGAGGATGATGATCCAGACGCAGTGCGCGCACCACCATCGCCCATGTCAGGCACCAGTGACACAGAGCAAGCCAGCATGGATGTCGATGTCAAGAGCGAGCCTGTCGAAGAAGTGCCTGCAACAGAAGCAATAAATATCGACGACGATAAACTTGAGACTGCGGCGCAAGCTCCACAACTCTCGCCAACAGGCATAAAAGAAGAGCAAGCCAAAACGGCCACAGAGGAAACACCAACACCAACCCCTACACCAACCCCAACACCAACCCCAACACCAAAACCAACAGCAGGTGCAGCAGCAGCGGCGCCGGCTTCAACAGCCACGACGCCATTGACGCGTACTAAACGCGTAATCAAAAAAAAAGTGTAGGACGCCTCATTTCGCAAGACGAGCAACAGCGGAGATAAAGATACGACTTAACATTTTATCCATAAGCTCAAATAACACATGTAGCGGCATGTTCAGGATGCCGACTAGAAAGTCAACAAACAACCAAGATGTCACCGCTCCAATGCCTAAAGTCAGTCAAACAAATGCAGTGTGGCGCCAGAGGGCGGATCCTATTAAATTGTATTGTAAATGCCATTGGGAGCGCAGTTTTGTGCTCTCTGGTTTAATTGCCCATCTATCCTTGCAACCCCCGGATGCTCTTCGCGCGCCCGCCCACCAACATTCGTAAGTCCATTTTTAATTATATGGCGATTTATTACAATTTACAACATAATTATGTACGAACTGCTATTGTATTGCGATTTGTTAAAAAAAAATACAATAACTCCATTAATATGGTGTGCGGATTTACTCGTATTACATACTCGTAGGGGCACTCGGTCCAGAACCGGGCCAAAATGTTAAACTAATGAATTATACTAATTAGCTTGTGACATAGGTTTGGTTGTAGCCAAAGTTATTTTCTATTAATCATAAGGAAAACCTTAAACTAGATTTGTTTGATTAGAACAGCAGAGCATATTTTTAAAAAAGTATTTTTTCTATTTGAAAATATTGCAAAACTTGCACACTGCACTGCCGATATATTACAAACAAAAAAAAAAAATAAAAAAATTATGGAATTTGATATAATATGTAAATTGTGTGGCTTGTTAACAGTTTTGTTTCCAAAGGGAAAATATCAAGTCTTTTTGAGAGTTTAGGGAATATAAGCCTAAACCGCCTAAGTAGATAGTAACCTGTCGAATATTGTTAAAATAATATAATAATGTATAATAATATATGGCTTACTGGCAAGGGAGGATAGCTAAGTATAGATAAAATCTAGTGCACCTTTGGAATGCTGAATATAGTGTTGTCTATGTGACCATATGTAAGATTGCGCCTGTAGATCCACCAGTCGATTGGCTTATTCAATTGACGATCATCCATGTCTGCAGATTCCGTCGAATATTGTTCCTGCTCCTCGACGGAGTCGTCGCTTTCGCTGTCCTTGTGCGGCGTAGGACTGTAGCTGGTCCAATTCTCATAGGGATCCTGGGCATAGGGCGCCGATGGCAGATTGTTAAAATTTGTGGCCAGCTTGCCAAACTGATCGATGTGCTGTAGCAAAGGATCAACGCTCTGGGCAGGTATCTTGAGTGTCAGCGCGGGTGTGTGCGGATGTTTCACGCCAAGCGTGGGCAAATCCGTCCACTTGCCCAGCGCATAGGGTGAGGTATCGTTGGTGTCTATCAAAAACATGCCACGCGTGTTGTGGCGTATGTTGTCACCGGCCTCCAGCAGATAATTTGTGGGCGGACACATGCCCAACAAATAGGGGATGTAACCACTGCAGGCCCAGCCCCAGAAGCCCTTGGATGAGCGTATGGACTCCAGGTAATAAGCCATCGCCCGCTGGTGGCTGCAAGCAAATGAATCTGCGAGAGACATTCGTGAATTAATCAATTTCTCTCATCTTATCTTTAGCATTTGCACCCACTCGTCCACTGCGGTCCCGTGCAGCCAGGCTGTGAAATGCCACCGTTCATGTAGAAATCAGCATGGCCGCAGCGCTCCAGCTTGCCCTGGACCAGCGCATTTGTGTGTATGACATCGACGAAGTCGGCATCGCTGGGATCCAGCTTGTCGTCGGGACCGGCGGTAATAAAAAGCGGCATCGCCGGATCCAGGCCAGTGATGCGGGGCAGCTTAAAGGATTTCAACTGGCGCGCTATATAGTTGGGCACCTGGGCGCCCAGCGAGAAACCAATTATGTGTATATCCGTGTTGCCTGCCTCCACCAGACGCTCTACCAGCTGCGCAGCACAGGCTCCCGCTTGCCGTGTGTTGTGCACGGCGCTTATATAGCAAGGCCCGGGCGCCAGCACGCTCCAGTCCACATAGATTATGTTGTGCTCCGATTTCGCCAGGTATTCTAAAGAGAATTTCATGTATATTAATAATTGTAAACTTTTCATAGTTTGTTTGATAACATTATAGAGGGAGTCTTGCTATGGTCAGCTTGGGATAGGTATCTTAACTTCATTTGTTCGTACCGTTCATTTAGACGGACAGGCGGATACACTACGGACGGACCGACATTCGGACCTAGCTGATCGGGGTGCCTGTTACATACAATTGCCCAAAACCAATATACTCTTTTTAAGATAACAGCCCTACTGTCAAAAAAGGGCTAGATTTGTGACATGGTCCGATTTCAAACTATATCCAACGTTTATTTCTTTCTTATACTTTTGCTGTCCAGAACTATTTTTAAATTTTTAAAGAGCTTGAAATCATCTTCAGTTTTTGTTTTGGTTCTAGGAAGTTTACCACTCAATTAGAATTAGAATTATTCCCATTATTTACTCACCATTTCGCATTTCTTGCAGCGGGTTGAGAAACATGTCGGAATTGTAGCCATGTATAAGTATCTTGGTTGGATGTTGTGGATTAAAGTAGGAGTCGGTGAGATTCGACTGTTCTGACGTCTCACCAATGTGCAGACTTTGACGATCCATGACATTGTAACGCGTGTAAATATAATACTTAACATCCGGATCGGGACAACTGCGTCCTATGGCCCATTTACAGGGTCCAACGGTAATATCCCGATTGCTGAAGGGCTTCGATGTCACCGGAGCTGCAGTTGTTTGTTCCTTAAGATTATCCAAATGTGGCGCGGATTGGGTTATAAAATCAAAGACAGACGCGCCACGGCAGCTGCAGACTATGCCAAGAGCTGGTCTTATTTTAGGATTGCTTTTTAAGATTGAGCAGTCACTTACCCAAAAGCAGGTAAGCCACCGCCAGCAGTCTGTGACTCATCTCGAAGTTTTGCTTTTAAATGCAATTGCAATTAACGTATTTAAATTACAGCGGCACAAGCTGTGCATTGTCCGGAAATGTTGGAGAAACTGAATGCCGGCCCTCAAGCCGATGACCATTTTGGCCAATCTGCAGTAAGTAGTAAGCGATCGAGTGTGTGTCTGTTTTTATTATAAAGTGAGAGTTGCCAAAGAAACCAGTATGAGTGCCCTTTTGCAGGTTTGAACGACTGCGAGATGCCCCAGGCCCAGACACGAGCTGCCGTTACAAGCTTTCGCATTAAATATTTGGCTAAATTCATGTAAGTAGACTTCCTGCTAAGAAGGCGAAGAAGACGGCGACTTAAACAGACCTGCCCTATAGAGCTGGCACGGAGACCCTCAACAAACTAATTTAGCCCTAAAATGTAACTGATCTAAGGGCACGGCACGGTCAGTTTAGCTCGTCTTTCTTCCTTCCACCTGTTACATACATTGTCATAAGCACAGTATACCCACTTTTATTCATGTTCGATGGGTTTCAGGTGTAAAAAGTGAAAACGTTGAGAATAGGAGGATTAGCTAATCGTGCATTAAACCGCAGAGAGACCAACGCGAAGACCTCAGCGTTAAGTTGATCTGCACGCACACACACACGCACAACACACACACACACACACACACACACCTGTAGGTACGCGTACGTGTTTGTTGTTTCAATTTTTACGCGATGAATGAAAACTTTGTTCACGGGCACGTCGCAAAAGGGAACGATCGGGTAATGTCTCTTGTCTTTGACTTTTATAGCGTTACAACCTTTCAAGTGTGGAGCTTCAGCTCTGTTGACTGAGTCCACATACCAGATAATATTGTATTCTTTCCCGACCCATGCCAACAACAGAGCCCAATAAGACATTTAAATTTGGGTTTGTTTTAATTAACCTAGTTGGTTCGGCATAAGCCATTTGCAACATTTTTTATGGGATTCGTAATTGCATGTTGATTTATTCAGATTGCTCTCAGGTACACGAAAGAGAGATGTCCACGTAAGAGACTTCTGTTATATCGCCTTAACCGTTTGGACCCATTCTGTCAAACATTCGATTTTAGAATTCCAGTCGATCCTACGGATCCTTACGAGTCCGAAATCGGGTCGAGATAATCTAAAAAATTATCATATAAGGTAGACTTCACAAACGAATCATTTTTTGGCCAATTCATAGTAGAAATTATGCGTCTGCAATTTGGGAGTAAAATTCGTTTTTGTTTAATCCAATTCTTAAGAAATCAGCTATTAAATAAGCTAAATAAAATATGCTTAAATACCCTTTCAGACTCCCCCGGGTCGGCAGCTCCTTATAAAAACAAGTTCACACTGCGGTCGAACTAACAGAGTGTTAAATTGTGAGTGAGTCAAGCGGACGAAAAAACCGGCGCCCAGAAAGTAAGCAAGCGATCGAAAGACGAGTGAGAACGATGCGCCACATTACTTAGCATGCACACACCCACACAAACACGTGTATGCGCAGAGATGAGCCAAGGCCAGAGATAAGCAGCCACCTGTTCGTGTGTGTGTTCGCTGTCATTTTGCTCACGCGCTCACGATTCAATTTGGTGCTGATCGCTGATTGGTCCACACATTATCTGCCGGCCGTGATGTACTCGCCGAGTCGATTGAGTGCTCTTTTTTCTGAGCGCCGTTTTTATGGATCAGCTCAACTTTATTCTATGTTAGTGTGACTCTATAAGTCGATATGGCATGTTGTTCTGCTGCGGGCGAAGGTCTTTTAAGCCTGTTATCTTTTTGTTATACCTTTTTTTTGGAAGTGATGTATAAGTAAAGCTGTTTTAAACCAATTATAAGGGAATATTCTCAAGTAAGTGCCATACTTATCTCTAATGGTATAACTTTTCGGATTTTTACGAGTCGAAAGGATTAATAGCCATTAGAGAAAGTGTTTGCTAAAGTTTGACAAAATTTGAAGAAGTTCATCGATTTCAAGAATGTTAAAGTGCTTATTTTATTGCAATTTTCTCTTCACTTCGCAAAAAAATTACTGAAAGCGCGATAAATAAGAAGATAACGCACAAGCAAACATAGACACAAACACACATATTCGACGATTCTCTCTGCATGCATACACATGTTTGGGTGTGTGTTTTCGCAATTCATATCTACTTATGCTTGCTTGTGCGTTATCTGTTTTCTGTGCGCCGACTCAGGCTAATATTGTCCGTTATGGGGATTATCAACTGACGTAAAAAAAATCGCCTTCTGCTGATCGAGCAGATAGAGCAAATTGGTTTCTAAATGCTTGTCGGTTCTGAAATCAAAATTTGTTAATGCTCTGTCGATTTTGAAGTCTCTCACGAACCTTAAAAGGTATATCCAACCGAAGTCTGACTTAATTTAACCAATATTAAAAGCTAACAAAATAAAAATTAATTTTTTCTTTTTAATCTTGCAGCTAAATTTGCCAAGGACAAGAAGACGTTCAATAACATTGGTACCTGCCATGGATATATGTACCTTAAATAAAATCGAATCGATGAAACTTGTTGCCAATCTGCGTCGATTCTCAACTCAACATTTTGTAAAATTCTGTCGATTTTAAAGGTCTTACGAAACCTCAAAGGTATGTATTTCCATAGTCGGACGTAACCAAACCGATGTATTTTATTTTACAAAAACTAATATATTTTATATTTTTCAGCCCACCCTGCCAACGTTTATGGACAACAAATAATCAACAAATAATTAGATCGGCGGAAATATCTCTCTTTAAAATAATAAATAAAATACTTCATATAAGTATACAATATCAGACGACATTTACCCGTTAAAAAACGTGCGATTTGTGTCGATTTGGGTCAAAATGCCAATTGATAGTACGGATCCTCAGGAGTCTAAAAATGGTACATTTATACAGATATGAATGCCAATTCATAATAGTAATTATGCGTTTAATAATTCGGAGTAAAACTCTACTTTTTTATTTAATTCCATTCTTTTAATATTTTATTTTAAATATGCTAAATAAAATATACGTAATATCCTTTCAGATTCCCCCGGGTCAGCAGCTCCTTATAAAAACAAGTTCATGTTGAATACTGCGGTCCAACTAACAGAGTGTTAAATTGTGAGTGAGTCGAGCGGACGAAAAAACCGGCGCCCAGAAAATAAGCAAGCGATCAAAAGACGAGTGAGAACGATGCGCCTCATTACTTAGCATGCACACACCCACACAAACACGTGTATGCGCAGAGATGAGCCAAGGCCAGAGATAAGCAGCCACCTGTTCGTGTGTGTGTTCGCTGTCATTTTGCTCACGCGCTCACGATACAAATTGGTGCTGATCGCTGATTGGTCCACACATTAGCTGCTGGTAGTGATGTACTCGCCTAGTCGATTGAGTGTTCTTTTTTCTGAGCGCCGTTTTTATGGATCAGCTCAACTTTATTCTATGTTAGTGTGACTCTATAAGTCGATATGGCATGTTGTTCTGCTGCGGGCGAAGGTCTTTTAGGCCTGTTATCTTTTTGTTATACCTTTTTTTGGATGTGATGCATAAGTAAAGTGCAATTATAAGTGCAAATTCTCAAGTAAGTGCCATCCTTATCTCTAATGGTATAACTAATAAGCATTAATAGCCATAAAAGAAATCGTACAAAAGCTTAATCAAAATTTGAAGAACTCCATCGATTCCAAGAATGTTAAAGTGTTTGTTTTATTGTAATTTTCTCGACACTTTGCCAAATATTAGTGTCAGCGCGATAAATAAGAAGGCAATGCACAAGCAATCATAGACACATACATGTGTATGTATGTACATATTCGACGATTCTCTCTGTATGCATACACATGTTTGGGTGTCTGTTTTCGCAATTCATATCTACTTATGCTTGCTTGTGCGTTATCTGTTTTCTGTTTTCTGTGCGCCAACTCTGGCTTATATCGTCCGTAATGGGGATTATTAACTGACATGTAAAAAAAATCGCCTTCTGCAGGTCGAGCAGATAGGGCAATTTGGTTGCTTAATTCTTGTCGGTTCTCAAATCAAAATTTGTTAGTGCTCCGTTTATTTTAAAGTCTCTTACGAACCCCAAAAGGTATATCCAACCTAAGTCGGACTTCATTAACCGATATTAACAAATTAAAAATTAATTTTTTCTTTTTAATTTTGCAACTGAATTTGCCATGGACAAGAAGACGTTCAATAACATTGGTAGCTACCATGGATAAATGTACCTTAAATAAAATCGAATTTAAATTTTGACCAAAATGGCTAAGGTAACATGAACCTTGTTGCCAAACTGCGTCGTTTCTCACCTGAACATTTTAAAGGACTTACGAATCCTTTAAGGTAACTATTTTCATTATCGGACGTAACTAAACCGATGCATTTTTGCTAACAAAAACTAATTTATTTTATATATTTCAGCTTAACCTGTCAACGTTTATGGACAACATATAATCAACAAATAAGATCTGCGGAAATATGTCTCTTTGACATAATAAATATAGTATTTCATATAAATATATAATATCAGACGACATTTACCAGAGATAAAACGTGCTTTGTGTCGATTTGCCAATTGATAGTACGGATCCTCAGGAGTCTAAAAATGGTACATTTATACAGATATTCCAAAAAAAATCTTAAACGCGGTAGACTTTCCAAACGAATCGATTTTTGGCCAACTTGAATGCCAATTCATAATAGTAATTATGCGCTTAATAATTCGGAGTAAAACTCTACTTTTTTGTTTAATTCCATTCTTTTAATATTTTATTTTAAATATGCTAAATAAAATATACGTAATATCCTTTCAGATTCCCCCGGGTCAGCAGCTCCTAATAAAACATATTCATATTGAATAATGCAGTCCAACTAACAGAGTGTTAAATTGTGAGTGAGTCGAGCGGACGAAAAAACCGGCGCCCAGAAAATAAGCAAGCGATCGAAAGACGAGTGAGAACGATGCGCCTCATTACTTAGCATGCACACACCCACACAAACACGTGTATGCGCAGAGATGAGCCAAGGCCAGAGATAAGCAGCCACCTGTTCGTGTGTGTGTTCGCTGTCATTTTGCTCACGCGCTCACGATACAATTTGGTGCTGATCGCTGATTGGTCCACACATTAGCGGCCGGCCGTGATGTACTCGCCTAGTCGATTGAGTGTTCTTTTTTCTGAGCGCCGTTTTTATGGATCAGCTCAACTTAACATATGTTTGGGTGTGTGTTTTCGCAATTCATATCTATGCTTGCTTGTGCGTTATCTACCTTTGAACGGCGATTACTCCAGTTTGTGGATTACTTGCTCAGTTTTCTGTTCTCCGACTTACGAATCTTTAATGGTATGTACGTAGCTAAACTGATGTATTTTCGTTTACAAAAACTGATATATTTTATATATTTCAGCCTAACCGGCCAACGTTCATGGACAGCGTATAATCAACAAATAATAAGATCGGTGGAAATATATCTCTTTAAAATAATAAACGTTATATTTCCGCGCGGAAATATGTCGGATTTGGAACGTCGGAGCTGCGCGAGATATGAAATAATTAATTTTATATGCTATAGCCAACTTTGCCACGCTCATGGACAACATTTCATCAGAAAATGATCGCTTTTCATGGTACCTAGTTGACCTGTATATCCTTTTTAATTTCATATCATGGATATAGTCCTAGCGAACCTAAAGGACAACGTTCTTGCAAAATGCGTAGGAACTAGGTCCAAAATATGTATGCTTTTCTTTAACAGCCGTCCCCAGCAACAGCAACAGTTTCTAGTTGACTAGCATATCCTTGGTAATACCATACCATGGATATAGTCCTAGCGAACCTAAAGGATCAGATCCCTGCAAAATGTGCATTGAAATGGTCCAAAAACATGTATGCTTTTTCTTTCAGGAGCCCTTTTACATTAGCTGCAGCTGCAGCTGTTGCTTAACAGCCGGCTTACAGCACTCTCGCAGCTTAACAGAGCTCATTTAAATTGAGTTACATTTTTGCCCCTTAATGCTATGCAATGAAAATTTTTATTCAAAGAACTCGTCGACCTTCTGGGCATTTCTGTTCGCCTGGTACTTGAGTGGAATTTTAGTGCAATTTTGGGACCCAGCCGGTGACGAGGGCGCCCCGTGAGGGTATGCAATGGATTTCTTCGGTCGCAAAAATATTTCTTATCGACCTTCTGCGCATTTCTGTTCGCCTGGTACTTTTAGGAAATTTTAGTAAAAATTTGGGACCCAGCCGGTAACGAGGGCGCCCCGTGAGGGTATGCAACGAAATTTTTCGGTCGCAAAAATATTTTTTGTCGACCTTCTGGGCATTTCTGTTCGCCTGGTATTTTGGCAGATTTTAAGAAAAATCTCGGCAGCCAGCGGTTGCCAACAAACGCCTCTCTCTCACGGGTGTGCAATAGGCTTCTAAAGACCGTTAATTTTTGAATTTGTAAATAAAAAAACAGGAATTTCTCTCTGTATTTGAATCAATGGATTTATTTACGCTTTAATTTACAAAATTGTTCATTTTATATGCTAATTTTCTTAATTATTTCACTTAAAATTATGTAAAACGAGTATAAATTAAATTTGATGCTTATATGAGCTAAAAATATCAATATTTGGCTTAATTAAAGTCCGATCCTGGAAATATTTGCTTTGTCAGTCGTGAAGGTCCTTAGAGCTCCGTGTAGTCCTTGATTTGGCAGTCTGAAATGAAAAAAAACACATTTAAATTAAACATATACATAATTTAATATATGCGGAAAATAGGCCATAACTCGGGCATGTCCTTGCAGATTCTCAAAGGACATGGTGCGTTAGGATCGTATAGACCCCCTGCATCGATCTGCATCATAAAAATATGGGGTCATCTAAGAATCATATGACTCGAAATTGGACTTGTAAAATTTCCGTCCCGGAGCGCACGAAAATGGCCCGAAATCACAAAAACTTTAATATCTTCAAAACTACAAGGACGTTCTTTATGAAATTTGGCCAGGTGGTAGTCCTGGTCAATACAATTATTTTGACATATGACTCACCAGGATACGCAAGGATATGCTTGAGTTATGGCTTATTTACTTCAAACAAAATCGTCCTTAAAACTTTTTTGTCTGAAGGATTTTCGTCCTTTGGGCTGTAAATTCTTCAATGGGAAGGTGGGGGCTATCTACTGACCAAAGGACATCCCGTTAGTCCTTCAAATGGCAAAGTTGGCCTGAAAATTTTCGATTTTGCGACTAACCCCCTAGGATAAATTTCGATAAAATTTTTTGTTGAATTCTGGAAATCCTTGAATGCCAATCGATAGTCCTGATCGCCACGAGCTCAAAAAGGTATATCCTTCCGATATCCTTAAGGATTTGGCTGAGTTATGGCTAATTAAAAAATGTCCTTTTTAGAAAATAAGCCATATTTCGGAAACGACAAGGACGATTTTGTTGTCCTTTGGACAGTTTAAGATCCTTGTTCATACGATTTGTTTGACACAGGACTTTTCAGGATCCGTAAGGATACGGCCGAGTTATGGCCTTGTTAATTTTCGAACGAATTGTTATCATATCTTGGCCATTTAAAGGACTTTCGTCCTTTTCATTATATATACTGAATTGGGAGGATAAGGACTTACGTTTGGCAAATGGACATCATGACTGCCAAGGAAACGGCCGATCTACAGCCTCTTATCTCTACAGACAAAAATCTGTTTTCCTCAGCTCCTTCAAGGATTATCGTCCTTTTTACTACCCATTCTAGGTTGAGAGGACAAGTACTACATGTTGTCCAAAGGACAACAGCATGGTCCTTAAAACACATGCCTTGGAAACCATAAGGACGATTTTCATATCATTAGTGTGTAACTTTTATAGTCCTTGTCAATACAAGGTGCTTGACAAAGGACTCGAGATATTCGAAAAAAATGGTCAAAAAACTTTCGATTTTCGAACAGAACCCAATTTTCACAACAAACGTGATGTAACCCTATACTTTTTGTTGTCGATTTGGGTCAAAATATAGATTTTAATTATTAAAAATACTGATCTTTACGAGTCCAAATGGTATAAAACTCCAAAATCTGACATTATTTGGCCGAGATATTCCAAAATCATAAAAAAAAGGTTGACTTTCGAGCGAATGGTTTTTGTTTAACAACTTTTTTTTCCCATAAGTTCATTACCTTCGTTTGAAAAGCTTTGATAATTAGTTTGATGCAAATATGACAAAACTGAATATGTGTTTCAGAGACAAATTGGCTTACCGTCCGGTCGGCTTCAAACTCATTTCCTTATATCTTTTAGTGTGACCTTAATTCCTACTAAGTTCGTGTGAACAGCTGATCGACGCCGTCTGAATTAGTTTCAGGAATACCATTAATATCCGAAATACAAATCAGCTGTTCAATTATTACTGCAACTGCGGCCAAAATTCAACTGCAACCGCTAATGCTTAATTTCTGAATTGCCATAAAATAAACTATTACGAGGATTACGAGGCGATAGATTGCATCTAATGGCAAATAAATACAGCAATCAAGTGAACAAGTTTTTAGTATTCAAAACGAGAATAGAAAAAAAGTTTTAAATTAAAATTATTGTGATTTTTGCGTCAATCGGCGCATTTTTGCGTTAAAACGCCTCGTTTCTGCGTCAACAACGAATGCAAAAAAGAACAGCATAATTGGCAAATTGAAAAAATTAACTTAAAGATGCCGCAACAACGTCGAAAACTACCTTTTAGCGGCAAAAAGAAGAAAGATCAATTGCTACAAAAGCGTAGCACAAAAGGTACAATAAGTAATAATATTGGCATTAGCGAAACTCTAAAAGAACAATGTGCACAGGTCAGCCCAGCAATTTGCGGCGCAGCAATCAAGAATCATACGAGGACAGCGATGCGCCGGAGACGACCGTGGATCGCAAACTCATGGAGCAGCCGCTAACGCGTGCTGGGCGAAACAAGAATGTCAACCGTTACAATCTCCAATTCGTTCAAGAGAGCAAAAAGGAGATCGAGCTAATGAAGGAGGAGGGATTCAAACCGCTAGATGTGCTGACCGACGCACAAAGGGAGATTGATGCACGCTATTTTGAGAATTATGATTTTCCTGTGCGACCACCTTGGACATTTGACCAGAGCAAGGAGCTATTGGATCGAAACGAAAATCGGTATTTTAAGGTATGTCGATTGTTTAGCTGGAAACACATGTGAATCTGATGGTTTACCCTTTCAGGAGTATGTTGACGAGCTGCTGCAAAAAAAGCAGCACAGGAATAGCAAAGAAATTTCCCTCTTTGAGCTAAATTTGGAGACTTGGCGTCAGCTTTGGCGCGTGCTTGAGTTCTCCGACATTTTGCTAATTATTGTGGATGTTCGGTATGCGTCACTCATGTTTCCACCATCCCTTTACGACTATATTATTCACACGCTGAAGAAGCATGCGATTGTTGTCTTTAACAAAGTGGATCTAGTTGCACCCGAGGCTGTCGTCGCATGGCGACACTATTTCAATGAGCACTACCCGGAGCTGCCCATTGTGCTGTTTGCATCGTATGCGGTGCGCAGCCAGAAAGGTACTCAGCGTGGTCGCTATCAGCGTGCTCATCGTCAGAGCATGGAGGGTGTCTATAATATCTTTCGCGAGTGCCAACGTTACGTTCAAAGCGACGTAGATCTGACAGCATGGGAACAAAAAATTCGTGACGATATGCGCATTGAGCAAGTGGATGTTGACGATGCCACGAGCAAAACTCAAGTGGAAGGGGAGCTAAAAATCAGCAATATTATCGACACCACGCCCCATCAGCACGTGAAATACAACAGCGGTATTTTAACCGTTGGATGCATTGGCTTTCCCAACGTTGGAAAGTCATCGCTTATTAACGCCATCAAAGGACGTAAAGTTGTCAGCGTTAGCCGTACTCCCGGCCACACCAAACATTTCCAAACCATATTCTTGTTGCCGAATGTGCGCCTTTGCGACTGTCCAGGTGTTGTATTTCCCTCTTGCACGCCAAAGAGCTTGCAAGTTCTGCTTGGCAGTTTCCCTATCGCACAGCTGCAAGTGCCTTATCGTTCGCTCAAGTTGCTGGCTGAGCACATGAATCTGCCGCAACTTCTTCGCGTGCATCTGCCCGAGGACTATGACGAGTGGTCGGCTGTGGCGCTGGCGGATGCCTGGGCGTATAAACGGGGTTTTCTCACCGCCAAGGCAGCACGCCCAGACCGTTATCGTGCCGCCAATCATATCTTGCGCATGTGTCTGGCTGGACAGCAGCAATTGGTGCTTCAGTTTTACCCACCCGGCTTTCATGACCAACAGGAAAGCTGGCGGCAGCATCCCGACTTCGCTGAGGTTAACAAATATCAACAGGTATATGCCGAAGAGCCAGATAGCGAGACTAATGAGGACACATCTTCCATCTGCTCGGACAGTAAGTAGACCAAAACCTCACAAACCCAATTATGTTAACAGTTTTTGTTGCAGCCGACGATAGTGATGACGAGGACAGCTCTAACGACGAAACAAACGCGGATGAGGATGAATGCGATGACTCGCAAGCGCGGTCAATTAACGCATTTAAGCTTCTAGAGGGTGATTGAGTTAGCTGCTGACAGCTAATACTCCTTGTCATCCTTAATTTATATACTTTTTGATATACATTAAAATGTACACATATATTTTGGTATCAATTTGAACTGAACTACTTCGATTTGTGAATGTTTAACATAAATTTAATCGATAACATAATAAACCCATAAAATATGGCCAAACTAAATGTCGTCGATCTCATCCGCGGACATCAAATCGTAGTCTTCGCCTATCTTATCATCAATTGAGAGAAGAAGCTCAATGGCTCTGTAAAAAATAGAGTCGTAATCATATAGCATAAAGAAAAGTATAGCTCAGTGACACTTCCAAAAACGAATTAAAGGATATCAAAAGCTACGAGCGACAGATTGAGAGATTGACAGGCGGGCTAGAACCATGAAAGATTACAAAAAGTGATAATGGGAATCCTAGGAAATTATGAGGCCCACGCCAAGCTGTCGGCTTTCTTTTACACAGTTGGACATATCCCGCATATACGCACGCAGTTGATGCTGCGTCTACGCTCTTTAGGTGTCCATTGATCTGAATGAAATTTGTAGGGTGCAAACATGACCGAAGAATTTACCAATAAACGGATAATGCATAAAAAAGTGAAATGTTCTGGATACTGTGCAGGAGTTTAAATCATGTTGTATCCTAAATATGCTAAAAAAAAAGAAAACAGGATTCCGAAATAGATGTCTATTAATTGCTTGAAAACGGCTTCAGCTCTCGATAATTTGGAACAACGGGTACCAGGAAAATCTACGATCAATATTTCTATTCCTGCTCTTATTGTTTCCGTGGTCGAAGCGTTTATTAATACGGACGGACAAACAGATAGTCGCAGATGACAGATACTTTCTTCTGACATTTGCCCAAAACTAT